CGGAGGCTGCGGTGAGCCGAGATCGCGCCATTGCACTCCAGCTTGGGTAACAAGAGCAAAACTCCGTCTCAAAAAACAAAAAAAAACAAAAAAAACAAAAAAACAAAAAAAAATGTAGCAAAATATTAAGAACTGTCAAATCTGGGCAATTTTGATTTTCAGTAATTTAAAAATACTCCATAAAACTTTTTAAATATATGTATTTTTAATACCTAATGGCTGTGTACTTCGAGGCCACACAATTTCCTTAAAGTACATTTTCTTTGAGTAAAATACAATTATAAGATACCTGGATTTTATAAAACGTTGTCTGGAAAAACAATTTGGCAGGAATAAGAATAGGCTGGCCATATTCCAATCAGATAAGGGGTAGCAGGAGGGGGGTTATTCCTTGACCTGGTACCCTGATAGGATAAGCGTACCTTAATATGTCTATTCCTTGGTCAAAAAACACAGACTGGATATCTGATTTTTGAACAGCTGAAAACTATTCAATTACATAAAATTATCTGCACCCAATGACGGAAATGATTGTTTTTGGAGATAATGGTCCATATGTCAGGTACTATTTGGAGACAAAGATAAATGATAACTTATCTCTATATTCAGTTTAGAAGACAAAAATATAAACACACAGACAAAATGTAATATGTTAAATGCTAAATTAAGGGGAATCTCACCATAGAAGACAGATAAGGCACACAGAGTTTCTGAAACACCAAACACTTTTATATAACACACCTGTTAACATGCTGTGCAAGTTTCCCAATCTGGAAAATACTGGATTTAAGAATAAGTGGGGTGAAAAGAGAAGACAGGTGAGGTTTTTGGGAGATGAGCAAACCTAGGAATATTTGTAAAGAAAGGGTAATGATGCAAGAGACGGCATCACAGACCATCCCTAAGGAGGCAGCCAGGGTGAAGATTCAGCAGGCGCAGACAGCAGGGCTTGTGAGAACAATCCCTCCTGCAACAGCCCCCTGTGGCAAAAGGAGAAAGGCCTAGGCGGAAGACAGAAGAAAGGTATGAAACAGAAGGGAGGGAAACTTGGCTGTTTATCAGATGGCCGTCTACCCTTCTCAGTGAAGTAAAAGATTGGGTAATCTTTGCTGAAGGTGAGGGATTTCAAGGACCATTTGAGTAGTTTAATGTGAAAAAAAAGTTTGAAATTGCCAGTGTACACAAGCACAAATACTATAAATAAGATTATCAGTGACAGCATCAGTCTAAACGGGGTTAGAGAGTAAGCATTTACAAAAAGCAATGTGGAAAAAAAAACTCTGTAACGCATTTGTGAGCATGCTTTTTTAAAAAAAAAAAGAAATCTGCATCTATCTGAAAAGCACACAAAATTTAAAACTAACACCTTATTTATCCAGGGTAGTTGGGTTAGAAGGTGTTCCTCCAGTCAGTTTTCCAGAGTTTCAAGGTCTACCCTTCCAGGCAAAAATAATTTTGTATTTAACCATTTCTCATGGAAACTAAACTACACACTTACCTGTCTTAATCACACAACTTGACTCTAATCTTAAATCTTGAACATCCACTGTTGCTGTACTGCGCAGCAAAACAATTCTATCTTCTTAATAGTTCTTCTATGTCTTTCCCAGCTGTCAAGATATAAAAGCACCTGGTTCTTCTAAGTTTATGTTTACCCTTAACACCTCAACAACCACAGCCCGCCTTCACAACTTACTTCTAGTCAGCCCCATGCAACGCAGTTTCTCGAACTTTTCTAAACCATACCCTTTATAATAAACATGAGACTCTCATTCCCTCCAGCCCTTTCATGGAGCACTGTTGCTCATGGCCTGTTACAGCCCAGAAAAACGGAAAAACTGAAAATGGGTATCCATGTCACCTAAAGGTTCCTATCATAAAATTCTAGGCAACAGGCAGGGCGCGGCGGATCATGCCTGTAATCCCAGCACTTTGGGAGGCCAAGGCAGGCAGATCACGAGAGGTCAGAAGTTCAAGACCAGCCTGGCCAACATGAAACCCCTTCTCTACTAAAAACACAAAAATTAGCCAGGCATGGTGGCAGGGTCCTGTAGTCCCAGCTACTTGGGAGGCTGAGGCAGGAGAATCACTTGAACCTGGGAGGTGGAGGCTGCAGTGAGCTGAGATTGTGCCACAAAAGAGACTCCATCTCAAAAAAAAAAAAAAAAAAAAATTCTAGGAAACACATTTCCCACATATGCATCTAGTCAAATATTAATCAAAACATGAGCAGGAAAATTTGGCTTAGCAAACAGTCTTAGTTATCCTCTCAAACAAAACGGTGGTTCCTTTCACCAAGGGGAAGGACAAATTGCAAAAGACCATGTGAAGGTACTGCCTTTGTAAGAATGGCTCTTCTAAATTAGACTTTTCAAAACTGACTTATTAAAAAGTTACCACAGGAGGCCGGGCACAGTGGCTCACAGCTGTAATCCCAGCAGTCTGGGAGGTTGAGGTGGGAAGATCACGAGATCAGGAGTTCGAGACCAGCCTGACCTAAATGGTGAAACCCCATCTCTACTAAAAATACAAAACTTGGCAGGGCGTGGTGGTGCACACCTGTAATCCCAGCTACTCAGGAGGCTGAGGCAGGAGAATCGCTTGAACCCGGGAGGAGACGGTTGCAGTGAGCCAAGATCGTGCCATTGCATTCAAAAAGCAAAAAGAATTACCAAGGGAATAATTTCTCATTTTCATCAAATAACCCACAGCACTAGTCCTATACTTTTCAACCAAGGTAAATGAAATGTTAGAAACCCCTCCCTATTTGCGTACCATAGAAATTGTAAAAACTCTGAGCAAAAGATTTCGGATGAAAAATCAGGATACAAAAAAGGAACAGCTGTCTTAATAGAGACACATCATTCCAAAAGTAGAAAAATTTGCTTAATTTCTGAATATTCCTGTAACCGTTCTGATAATGAAAACACTGATCAATTTACTACTCTCTTATTTTTCTTTGAAACTTTTCCTAGTACAATGGAACCACTAAGTACCGTAAAGCACAGCTCAGGGGCCAGACGGCAGTGGGAGGCTGGAGAACAGCTTGAGCCCAATATAGCAAGAACCTGTCTCAAAATAAAAAATAAATAAGTAAATAACAAGGCGCAGCTCAGGTGTGCCATCACTCTTCTAGTTGAGGGCACCCCAGCTGCCTCCCCCATTGAGTATAAAACCCCTGGCAAGCAAGCTCTTCTGCAATCTAACTTTTCTAGCCTAAATTCCCACCACTCCCCCACCATGCACTTTTGCCAAATTGCAAATACTTACTGTTTTTTTGAAGAAGCTTCACCCTTGAAACGTCCTTTTTCCACCTCAACCTCTACCTAACAAAGTCCTCCCCATCCCTCTGCAACGTTCTCCAAATGCCACCTATTAATACTTCAGGAACCCTTCCCTCCCTGATCCTCCAATAGCAACCTTGCTTTCCTCGGAAATCCCAGTAATTAGCTGTACCTCTCACTTTACTGCATTTCACCTTGCCCCACCTACCTCTAAACATCAGACTTCTCGCAGCCACCGTCTGCATTACAAGAACCTTTTTAATGTTTCTAAGCACCTAGCACAGTGCATCGCTAACAGTGGGCTCCGAGTTTTATCAAGAAAGTTGTACAGTGTGCAATCAAAAAAGTACGGTAGGGGATGAAACTCCGCCTTAAAACTTCACAAATGAAAGATCGAAATACCAAGACAGGCAAATGCACAATAAATATGCACCACACTAAGCTGTCCTCCAATAAGAAATTAAAAACGTCTGCACTTCTTATTCCTCAATTTAAAAAAAAGTAAATACCGCTAACAAATCACTAATCGCTTAAATCGTTTTTCAAGAAATTTGTTTCCACATACATAAATTTGCTTCCACATACATGAGTACGAATGATTCAAAATTTTATTCCTCCGCTTTCGTGTTGGGCATTTTTTTTTCCCTATAGGACAAAAGGATGGCGAGAACTTTCCCATCAATCTTTATTTTTCTTTCTTTATTCAGATACTCGGGTCGGCAAGGATTGTTGGAAAAACAACCGCATCGAAGGCACCTTAGCAGCCACATATGATTTGACTTAAGCAAAAATAACATTTCCCGGGGTCCCGTATGCCCTGGTGAGCCCAGGTGTCCGGAATGCCACCTGCCCCGAGTGCCCTCGGGTGGCTACAGGCGCGGGCGAAAGGCGCAGGGCCAGGGGTACTGAGGGCGGAATGGTTCCGGCGCCGGGGCGGCGGCAGCAGCCGCCTGCGGCAGCTCAACTAAAACGCAACGGAAACTGCAGCCAGTCACGGGGCTGCGGGAGGCAACGCAGGAAGGTGGCGCTGCCGCCGAGCGCCTGAAGCCCGAGCGCTCATCATGGCGGCAAGGGCAATGGCCGCCATGGGGAGCGAGCACGCCCCTCCGCGCGCACACGCCGCCGCGCCGAGCCTCCGGGGCCCGTCACCGGCGCCGCTGCCGCCGCCGCCGCCGCCCGCTCTCCCACCCCCCCTCACGGGCTGTAGCGGAATTTTCTCTCCAGACACCGCCTCCAAGATGGCGGCTCCCCCTCCCGGCAACCCCCTCTATCGTCCCCTGCAGCAGCCGCCGAGCCGCCGCCATCTTGTCCCCCCCGTCCCTCCCCCCCTCGCCGATATTTACATAGCGAAAATCGGCCCGGCCGGCCTGCGGCCTTCACCTCACGCCTGCAGCCTTCGCCTCCTTGCCAGGCCTCACCCCGGCGCCGTGCCCCGGGTCGGCCGCGACGCCGACCCGGGGCCCCTCGGTCGCCTCCGGGACAACCGGGCGACCCTCCCCCAACCCCCGCCCGCTTACGGAGCGCGCCTCCGCCGCCGCTCGGGGCAGCCGGGCTCCTCCCCGGGCCTAACTGCGGCCTCCTCGGGGCCTGCTCGGCGCCGCGCGCCACGCCGCCCGGCCTAGCGCGCGAGGGCGCCTTGCGGGCCGCCGACCAGGCCGAGACCAGGCCGCTGTGCGCGCACTAGGCCCCGCGGCCGCGGCGGCACCCGGGACTCACCGGACAGGCGTGCGGGCGGCCGGCGACGGTGGCGGGTGCTGCAGGCCGGCCTTTCTCTGGAGCACTGGGCCGGGCTCCGGCTGGTGGGGCGGGCGGAGGGAGGGAGGAGGGGCCGAGCTCGAAACTGACAAAAAGCGGCCCAGCTCCCCGGCACGGGCCCGCCGTCAGCACGTCACGTCACCGCCCGGGAGAGAGACCCAGGAAAATGCGGAAGGATAGACAGGCCCCCTCCTCCGCCCGGTGGGTCCCCCTGGCGCCCCGGGTCAACTCCGTTCCCGCCCCGCGACCGGGGAGCCCAGTGGCCTCGCTGCGGCGGGGTCTCCGGCGGCCGGAGTCTCCGTGACAGCGCCCCCCTTCTTTCCACCTCCTCCGCGCTCCCGCCCGCCGCCGCCACACACGCGCCGCTGCCGCCGCCTCGGCCGTAAAGCCCGCGTGGGGCCGCGGTCGGCCGACCCCGCGGAGAGGCAAGCTGCCCGGCCGCCCCCTACCTTGTCCCGGGGGCCTCCCCGGAGACCTACCGCCTCTCCGCGCCGGTCTTGGCCGAGACTCCAGCTCGAGTTGTTTGCAGGCCCTCAGACCCCCGCCCGCAGTAAATGTGTTTTCTTCATCCCCGTGGCTGGGGAGGAAGATAAATTTAGCAACCCCCGCCGTCCCCTGCCTTCGCTTAAAAAAATTAAAAAACAAAAAAAAACACAAACTTTTAAATAAAATGAAAAAGGGCTTGCCAGTCTAACCGGGAAGGGAGGTGGAGTGGGGGGAGAAGGGTTATCCCTGGAGCACCTACCAAGCCGTCTAATTTTTTAAAAATAAGCAGTCAGAGAGCCAAACTGATTTTATTAGTTTGTATGGGGGAGGGGGATGAGCGAAGTTACATTTTGAAACGTTTCGCACGTTGCAAAGAACAGGAATTTTCTGTGTGTATTTCCTATGTGCCCGTGTTTCAAAGCTTGGGAGCCTGTGAAATGTAAGTCTGGTGTCATCGTTCCATAAATCATGAATTTTCCACATTCTTTGATAGGAGCCCAGTTGGGTATGGATTTTTTTTTTTTTTTTTTTAACAAACTGCTTAAACAAGCCTTTTGAAGTTTCGAAAGACTTGGGAAAGAAGGGGAGAACGATTAAACAGCACTTATCAACTTCAAAAATGCATATTTTGAACTTTAGTTTAAATGTTTATGCTATCTTCCCATGCTGAACTTGGAACCCAAACTCTGTTTTAAAGTTACTAGGAAAAAGTTAAATAGTGGAGTCTTTACATTAATTCCAGAATCTGCCATGCTGTCCTTCAACACAGCACTAAATGTTAAAGACATTTTTAAACAATTAAGAAATAAAAATTATAAAGCAAATAGTATACTGATGTGAAATCTCTTTAAATACAGAGGCCACTTATTTTACTGGCCTGACATAACTCTTTAAAACTCCCAGAATGCAATTTGTCCCTTTCCTCAGACATCTCTCAATCACAAATGCTTTCAAAAAGGAAAAACAAAAGTAGAGTAAGAAGAAATCTCAGAATGCACTGGATGGTAATTTTCCTCTCGGGCTTTAGTCTGAATTTTTTCAAGCGATTAAATTTCCTTTCAAAAATAGTAAAAACATGTCTTCATTGTTTATAAAAATTACATCAGGCTGTGATACCGTTCACAGAAATGTAAATGAAACTAAGCAATGCTGTTTGAAGCACACAAAAGAAATAGCTTGTGTGCCCACATTAATATTTCTTTTTTTTTTTTGGAGACAGAGTTAAAAAAAAAAAAAATTACTCCAGCCCGTGCTCGGTCCACAGCAACCTCCGTCTTCCAGGTTCAAGCGATTCTCCTGCCTCAGTTTCCCGAGTAGCTGGGATTACAGGCGCGCACCATAATGCCTGCCTAATTTTTGTATTTTTTCAGGGAAGACGGGATTTCGCCATGTCAGCCAGTCTGGTCTTGAACTCCTGACCTCAAGTGATCCACCCCGCCTCAGCCTCCCAAAGTGCCAGGATTACAGGCGTGAGCCACCATGCCCGGCCGCCCACATTAATATTTCAAAAAATTGATAACCAGCATTTAAGTACTTTCCAAGAGCCTCAGTTTGATGCTGCGGTATGGCAAGAATGGAGGCTGGATGCCCTGACTCAACCCCTGTAACCACAGCACTTTGGGAAGCCAAGGCGGGAGGATCACTTGAGCCCAGGAGTTCAAAACTAGCCTGGATAACATGGTAAGACCTCATCTCTATAAAAATAAAAAGAATGGAGCCTCACTTCATCATCCATGCAACTGTAAGCAACATTTTCAAGTCAGAAAAACCTAATGTCACAGTTCTTGTTAGTTTTTTCATAATTACCATCAAATACTTATACGTCCACCAGTGTAAAGCACTTAAGTGTGTCCGAGGAACATAAAAGAAACAGATGTATTCTCAACTTAAAAAATCACCAGTAGTTTAGGGATTGATGCTATCAAAGAGCCCTTTGTGCCGGGCGCGGTGGCTTAAGCCTGTAATCCCGACACTTTGGGAGACCGAGGTGGGTGGATCACGAGGTCAAGAGATCGAGACCATCCTGGTCAACATGGTGAAATCTAGTCTCTACTAAAAATACAAAAAATTAGCTGGGCATGGTGATGCGTGCCTGTAATCCCAGCTACTCAGGAGGCTGAGGCAGGAGAATTGCCTGAACCCGGGATGCGGAGGCTGCGGTGAGCTGAGATCGCGCCATTGCACTCCAGCCTGGGTAACAAGAGCGAAACTCCGTCTCAAAAAAAAAAAAAAAAGAGACCTTTGTGATTACTTTTCATACAGGAAGAGACTGTTAACTTTGGTGGAAAACAAGGAAAGGATGGCCTAGTTCTATTAGATTAGATAAACCTTTATTAAAGTCCAGCAAAAATTATTTTATAGATGACCATAGAGATAAGGTCAACTATATTTTTTTGAGTTTAAAAAAAGAAGGTAAAGTAATTTGTACTTTAAGCCCATTTATGGAAGTCTGTAAAGGACATTGTTAAACTGGTAAAAGAACAATGATAAAAATTATTTCACTAGAAGTACACTTAGTATTATACTCAAAATGAAGACGAAAAGGAAGTGTAAACAACAGAGATCAGAAATTGTTTGATGTTGTGATAAAATACAAAATGCATTTTATGAAAGTACAATAGGACCTTGAGGACACCTAAGATCCTTGAAAGCATTTGGTAATTAAGCACCAGCCATCTTTTTTTTTTTTTTTTTTTTTTTTTTTTTTTTTTTTTTTCTGAAGTTGCTTTTTATTGTCATTATTTCATCTGGGCGACCAGCACCAGACTTCTTACACTTTTTAAAGGACCTATATCTTGCCTTGACAATTTTGATAATTGTTTTAGTATTAGAATTCTGGGCACAGGAAGTAACAAAGATGTGCTTGCCCTTGGGGAACTCGAATAAGGAGGCTGTGTAAGGCAAAATAAAAACATTCCTAAGTACTTTCATTTTCTCACTTAAGTAAACATAATAAAAGGAAATTTTATCTAGGGAGGTTGAGAGCAGAACATTTCAAAAGAGAATGCTATGAATACAAAATAGCTGGTTTCAAAGCAGTAAAAGGAATTTTGATTACGTGCTAAAATATATTTGTTCCTTCAGGGCTGTTAATGTACATCAGATAGTTAAAGCATTTACTCAAGGTTTTGACAGTGTTTTAATAACTTAACTAAAAATGTCTGACATGTTTATAGGTCCTTGAGCCAGAAACGATAGAAGGCCTTTCAATCATTTTTCCAGAGAAAGATTAGTCAGAAAAAAAGCTGTTGATTTTCACTCCACATCAGAAACTGATGGGAATTCAAATAACAAGCAATAAATTACTGGCTTATAAGAAAACGTAGACCTTCTTGAATAAAGTTGTGGTAAGTCATTTTTTTGTATCCCAAACATTAAAAAATATTTATCTCCCCCTAGAAAGGCCCTAGTTTTGTTGAACTAAGCATGCCCTATAAACATTAACCATTTATCTGATGCCTGATACTTAGGTTATACTTAGTGTGAGCAAGTTGCTGCTTCTGTTGGAATTCAGTTGGCCATAATTAATGCCAAGTAAGAATTTTTCATCTGAGCCCTTAAGCCACACACTCTCCCCAAGGAGAATAATTTTAAAATAAACAATGACTGGCAAATAGGTGATTTTCAAGCAGTGCTTTTTACATGAGTCATTAGTTGAATAAGACATTATTTAATTCCTGAAAATCACCAGTAGCCATATTCTTCATGGATTATAAATCACAGGGCCCAGCAAACAAACCAGCTCCACTAAAGAGATTTTAAAAATCAATATAGAGGCCTAGAAACAATAAGCAGTACCAGTGAGCACCCCTGGTGTCCAAGGTGGGGCCTCTACAGTTTTCCACCAAAGGAAAGGGAGAAGTGATGGATTCCAGGGCTGGAGCAGGAAAGTATAAGATAAGCCAGAAACATCTCCTTATAGCAGAAAACAAAAGAAGAAAGTGTCCAGTTTAAGGAGGCTCCAGTTGTCTAACGTTAAGAAAATTTGAATGTCAAAAAAAATTGCTATGAATTGAAACACAGTGGATATGTTAATGAATTTATGAGACTTTAAAAATGATCAACTAGCGGTAATGGTTGCACAACTTTATAAACGTACTAGAAAGTAGAGAATTATATGTACGCTTTAAAAGGGTAAATTGGATATAGTATGAGAGTCATATTTTAATTTTTAAAAATGATGACTTTTGGGGAATGCTAGGGAACTAACTCAATATTTTCAAAACTAGTAAAGGAAAAAAGACGAAGCCTGTAAGTTAATTTTTGTTTTTTTTGTTTGTTTTTTTTTTTTGAGACGGAGTTTCGCTCTTGTCACCCAGGCTGGAGCGCAATGGCACAATCCCGGCTCACCGCAACCTCCACCTCCTGGGTTCAGGCAATTCTCCTGCCTCAGCCTCTTGAGTAGCTGGGATTACAGGCACGCACCACCATGCCCAGCTAGTTTTTTGTATTTTTAGTAGAGACGGGGTTTCACCATGTTGACCAGGATGGTCTCGATCTCTTGACCTCGTGATCCACCCACCTCGGCCTCCCAAAGTGCTGGGATTACAGGCGTGAGCCACCGCCCCCGGCCTAATTTTTGTATTTTTAGTAGAGACAGGGTTTTGCCATATTGGCCAGGCTGATCTTAATACTTTTTTTTTTTTTTTTTTTTTGAGACGGAGTTTCGCTCTTGTTACCCAGGCTGGAGTGCAATGGCACGATCTCGGCTCACCGCAACCTCCGCCTCCTGGGTTCAGGCAATTCTCCTGCCTCAGCCTCCTGAGTAGCTGGGATTACAGGCATGCACCACCATGCCCAGCTATTTTTTTTGTATTTTTAGTAGAGACGGGGTTTCACCATGTTGACCAAGATGGTCTCGATCTCTTG